AAATATTTATTTGTAAACTGAGGACTAAATGTTTGCCCCAATAAACAGATATTTCATCTTAACCAGTTATAGGCAATTATATAACTGGATTTGCATTATAAAGTTTTACATAAAAATCAGCTCCATTTCCCTTTCTCCTTTCTGAAACACCACTATATTCCCATCCTGTCTTCCCTGCTCAGAGCAATCTCTAAATTGTCACTTTAAGAAGTGACATCCTTGGTGATCATGTCATGTTGCCAATAACTAAACGTCTCCACCCTCTTAAAGGTCAGTATTTCCAGAAACTGGGACGGTGTTCGGTGAGAATTTCTGTAAACACAGCCAACCTGACACTGGGCCCTCAGGTCATGGAGGTGACTGTCTACAGAAGGCACGGCTGGGCCTACGTTCCCATCGCACACGTTAGAGATGTGTACGTGGTAACAGGTGCGTGGTGGGTGCTCTCAATTAACCAAGGATAAAGCATTTCATTCTGTTGACCTTAGCAGGTGAAGAGTCAGGGCCAAGTGTTCTGAGTTAGATAATGAATCATGTGGGCCCTGGCCCAAGCTTTGTGTATTTAATTATGTTGTATCCCATCTGCTTTCTAGAATAGCTTGTGGAAACTCTAGAAAACTTGCATATAAAAGGAAAGCTTGATGCCGGGTGTGGTGGCGCACGCCTATAATCCCAGCACTTGGGAAGCTGAGGCAGGAGGATCACTGTGAGTTTGAGACCAGCCTAGGCTGCAAAGTGAGCTCAGGGCCAGCCTGAACTGCATAGGGAGACCCTGTCTCAAAAAGACCAAAAAAAAAAGAAAAGAAAAGAAAGCTTGATGCTGAGTTATCTCTGATTTTAATTTTTTTAACTAAAAGAATTATTGTAGTCCTTTGCTTAAAATGAAGCATTCTTTTTTTCCTTTTCTCTTTTTTTTGATGTGTCTCTTTAGATCAGATTCCTGTGTTTGTTACCATGTTCCAGAAAAATGATCGAAATGTGTCCGATGAAACGTTCCTCAGAGATCTCCCCATTATGTTTGATGTCCTGATTCATGATCCCAGCCACTTCCTCAATGAGTCTTCCATTTACTACAAGTGGAACTTTGGGGACAACACCGGCCTGTTTGTTTCCAACAATCACACTCTGAACCACACCTACGTGCTCAATGGGACCTTCAACCTTAACCTCACCGTGCAAGCTTCAGTGCCCGGACCTTGTCCATCACCTTCCGCACTTCCAAAGCCCACCCCTTCTTCTGGTAAGCATTTTGTGGGTGCTCTTTGAGGGGGATTCCTTAACGGGAAAAAAAATTCATGCAGGTCAGTAGTGGCGAACCTATGGCACGTGTGCTGCAGTTTGTTCTCACTGAAAGTTCTAAAAGGTTCACCATCACTGAGATACATATCAGGGATATATATATGTCCCTAGCAGTACTAGGGATGGGACCCAGGGCCTTCCACATGCTGAGCACTCTACCTCTCAGCTATACCTCCAGACCCCTGGTAGGAACTTGACAGTGTAACTTAGGCTTGAGGATGTGTGACAGTGATGTAACACTTGCCAGTTGTGTTTGAGGCCCTGGCTTCCACTGCCAGCACCAATAAATAAATACATACACACATAAATAAATGTCTGCTGAAAAGAATTCTGTAGACTCTATAACGATTCCACTTTATATCTGTTGATTTTTTAAAAAGCACTTTATTGCCATTTTAAACCTTCAGAACAAGGAAGAAAGGAGAGTGTTTTTAAAGTCACTTCGCCAGTAGAACTTGGTGACCCATAAAAAATGTGTCCTTGATCCTCCCAACTTGTACCAGCCCGTGCTATGTGTATAGGCTGCCTGCCGGCTTCTAGCCGGCTACGTTTCAATTTCTCTCCTAGTTTCCATGGCCGGCTCCTTCTCAAGCATCAGGCCTCCACTTCCCTCTCTCAGTCCTCTCCCACACTCGTCCTCCTTCCCTGCCTTGCCCACTCCCACCAGTGCCCGTGAAAACCCAGCCGTACTTCACAGCGCTTCTAAATGGCCCAAGAAAAGATACTACTTGCAAGTATCTCTGAGCATCTCCAGCCATCAAAACTGCTGCTCAGGATCTCACGAGGATTGACCCGGTACTAACCTCTGTAAATAGTCTGTGAGGACATTCGAGAAGTTCCTAAGTGTCCCCTTTGGGAAGCATTGGCTTCCCTCTGATTCCCGCCCCTGCCCCAGGCCAGCAGGTCCTTTCCCTACCTGGCCATCAGCACCTCTCAACACCCCAGGCTGACATCCTCTCACTGGTCACAAGAGGGCGCCATGACCCAGCCCAGAAGAAACACCTACTCACCATGTCTAAACTTCTTGTAGCTGTTTTTACCAACACCTGTTAGCTATAAATAATAAACTGTGAAGATGTTAGGATTAAAATGAGATATTGTTAAAGAATACAAACACTGTGCCAGGTGTGGTGGCACATGCCTGTAATCCCAGCATTTGGGAGGCTGAGGCAGGAGGATGGTTGTGAGTTTGAGACCAGCCCAGGCTACATAAGTGAGTTCAAGGCCAGCCTGGACTGCGTGGTGAGACCTTGTCTCAAAAAAAAAAAAGGGGGGGCTGGGGATTTAGCTCAGCGGCAAAGCGCCTGCCTGGCAAGCGCAAGGTCGTGAGTTCGGTTCCCGGTACCGGAGAAAAACCAAAAAAAAAAAAAGACAAACAAACAAAAAAAAAAAATACAAACACTGAGACATCATCATGTATTATTATTATGGATTTTGATTTTTGGGGGAGAGGGTCTTTTTGAGACAGGGTTTCACTGTGTGATTCAGGCTGATCTTGAACTCACTTTGTAGCCCAGGCTGGCCTCGAACTTGCAGTGATCCTCCTGCTTCAGCCTCCTGAATGCTGGGATTACTGGTGTGCATCACCACGCCCAGATCATTCTTTTTTTTGTAATGTTTTAAATTACAGTATTTATGCATGTTCCCCAGTAAAAAAGCCAAACAAACAAGAGAGAAGTCTAGAGTAAAAGTCTCTAAACCCCAATGAGAGGGATGTTAATGTTGGCAGGGTTTCTTTCCAGATCTTTCTCTGTGCATTTATAAACACTTCAACACATGCATGCAGGTTTTGTTTTGGTGTTTATATAAATAGATTCATGCTATACATAATGTTCTACATTTTGGGGAGGGGATGAGGGGTACTAGGGATTGAACCCAGAGTTTTCATACAGAGCTACATTCTCAGCCCATGTATTTACTTATTTATTTGTTTGTTTATGAGACAGTCTCGTTAAATTGCTAAATTGCCCAAGCTAGGCTCAAACTTGTAATCCTCCTGCCCCAGCATTACAGAGTACTGGAATTATCAGCACTGAAAAAAAAAAAAAAAGGAACAAACATCATAGACATCTCTCCTTTATCAGTACTTGTAAATCTATCTCATTTTATTCAGTGGCTAAATGATGTTCCATAGGATGTTTATACTATCATTCAACATTCTCTTATTTACAGGCAGGCAAATTAATCCTAATTCCAGTGACAAATACAACTCTACTGGACAAATTTATTGATTGATTGAGTGACTGATTGATTTTTTTGCCTTTTTGAGACAGGGTCTCACTATGCAGTTCAGGCTGGCTTTGAGCTCACTTTGTAGCCCAGGCTGGTCTCAAACTCGAAATGATCCTCCTGCCTCAGCCTCCTGAGTGCTGGGATTATAGGTGTGCGCCACCACACCCTGGCTGTACTGGACAAATTTAAACATACAGCTTCATTCAAGTATTTCTGTAGAGAAACCAATGTCTTTATCTGCAAAAATTGATGGTCTTCATTATAAATAAGAAGTTTAGGTATAAAATTCAACACGAAGTACAAGTACCTTGAATATTTAGAAATTCCTGAAAGGTAAAGGACTTAATGTTAAGTTACTTAATGTTATTTTTTATACTTGCACTTTTATGAGGCTAGCTTGCTTTTCTTTTTTTTTTTTTTCTTTTTTTTTCCAGTACCAGGCATCGAACTCACGACCTTGCGCTTGCCATGCAGGCGCTGTGCCACTGAGCTAAATCCCCAGCCCCTCAGTTTGCTTTTCTTAGAAATAATTTCATAGCATATGTTTAAAATATTTTAAGTCAATGAAAAGATATTTTTAAATTTCTGTGTTCGAAATGACTAAAGAAGACAAATAAATAACTTAAGAGATGATGGAAACAAGACAAACTTTACCCTTAATTCTGATAAGCTGATAGAATCATAGGCCAGATGGATATGAACTGTTCATGTCACAAAACTGTCTTTCTCTTTAGCCTAATAGTGTTATTGTGCATCTTTCAGACTTTTGTAAACAAATCTAAAGAATCTCCAATTTTTGCCAGGCGTGGTGGCGCACGTCTGTAATCCCAGCACTCGGGAGGCTGAGGCAGGAGGATCATTGCAAGTTCGAGACCAGCCTGGGCTACAAAATGAGCTCAAGGCCAGCCTGAACTACATACTGAGACCCTGTCTCAAAAACACACACACACACAAAAAAAAAAAAAACCCAAAGAATCTCCAACTTTTGTAAGGCTGATCAGTTTAAATACATATATAAATAAATATGAATTACTATAAATTCACTACTTTCCTAAAGAAGTAAAACCTCTCACACTACTGTCTTGGCAACAGGGACATAAATACTGAATTAAGGGTAAAGTTTGTCTTGTTTCCATCATCTCTTAAGTTATTTATTTGTCTTCTTTAGTCATTCACTCATACCTTGACCTTATAGATACAATATCCGCACAATTCTTTGTGCCTTTTTATAAGCACTCTGTCGAAGGTAGAATTGCTAACATTTATTATTTAGTCTTTTTAAAAAGTTCTATTTAAAATATGTTGAGGTTGTGATTCTGTGCTCTAGTTAGTACCTCCATTCTGCCTGTCAAGACCTTCAGCTGAGGCAACCTTCTTTCTGGGTGCCCTCCTGTCTCTCAGGAGCTTTCTTTCCCTCAATAAAATTTCCTATTCTTAAAAAAAAAAAAAAAAGAACTTCAACTGGAGGACTTTTGTAGTTCTCTAAAGGAAAACTAGTGCCCTTAAGTGCTGTATTAGCCGGCTTTTCTCACAGGGCCTAATGCCTGAAACTTAAATCAGAAGAGGTTCATTTTGGCTCACAGTTTCAGAGGTTCAGTCCATCACTGGCTGGCTGCAACACAGAAGCAGCACAGCCGGAGGCGGTGGTAGAGGAAAACTGGTCAACCCCGGGCAGCCAGGGAGCAGAGAGGAGAGAGGGAGAAGGGAGGAGGCCAGGACAAGACACCCCTTCCGTGTCTTTCCAGCCTGGGCTCCCACCTAATAGCTCATTCAGCTATAAATTCATCAACAGATTAATCCAGGGATCCCCAACCTTCAGGCTGTGGGCCAGTACTAATCTGTGGCCTCTCAGGAACTGGGGCTCACAGCAGGAAACCAGTGGATGTTCAAAGCTTCCTCTGTGTTTACAGTCATTCCCCAGTCATTCATATTACCATCCAAGCTTAGCCTCCTGTCAGATCAGCAGAGCGTTAGATTCTCTTAGGAGCTTGAATCCTGCTATGAACTGCACACGTGAGGGATCTAGAGTGAGCACACTTTACAAGAATCTAATGCAATAATAGCAAAAATAAAGTGCACAATATAATAAAAATAGAAACAAAGTACACAATAAGTGTAATGTGCTTGAATCATCCCAAACCTATCTTCCACAAAATTGGTCCTTGATACAAAATAGGTTGGAGACCACTGGCTTAATCCCCTGGTGAGGGTATTACCATGATCCGATCACCTTCCTAAAGTCCCACCTCTGAACACGTGAGACTTTGGGGGACATTTTAGATCTAAACCATAACAAATGCTCTCCACAAACAAACCTTTTGGGGTAGAGCATGTCAGCTGAGGACTGGGACAGGCTGAGTGAACATCCCATAACACTTCTGGAGGACGACCATGACCTCAGGGACAATCCCCAGAGTCTGTCCCGCTGATAAACCACTCAACTGAGCCCAGTGCACTGTGAGGACATTTCCAGATTCCCCAGCAGTATTTCCCAACGTGCCACAGAGCTGCGTTCTGGAAGTGTTGTGAGAACAGCTCTGAGAAGCCCCCACCAGGCACAGGAAAGGCACAGGGCATGTCACCTTGAAAAGGCTCTGAGAAGCCCCAGGGAAACTCCTAGGTGACTTCATCCTTACATGTCACAAAGTTAGAAAGGGGCTCTTTTGAAGCTTTGATGCTCTTCCCCAAGACCAATCCATGTGAATGCCTTTGGAAAGGAAAGAAAAGACAAGGTTATACTTTTATTTTTATTTTTATTTTTATTTTATTTTTGGTCTCTTTTGAGACAGGGTCTCGCTATGCAGTTCTGGCCTTGAGCTCACTTTGTAGCGCAGGCTGGTCTCAAACTCACAACGATCCTCCTGCCTCAGCCTCCCGAGTGCTGGGATTACAGGCTTGCACCACCATGCCCAGCCAAAGTTATATTTTTAGTATCATGTTTTCTTTCATCTTTTCATCTCGTTAGAGTAACCTCAACACCTTTTAAAATGTAACTAGTAGAGCAGTAGAGTTTTTTCTCTAATTGTAGCAAAGAATTACTCTTCATGTCTTGTATTCACTCTTTTCTTTCCTCACACCTCTGCTCTGATTTTATCACAGTGGGGTTCTTGGAATGTAAGCTTTGGACCCATGAACCGTTCAAACAGGAAAGTAATTACCTTTTGCTGTATTCTTGGAACAAGGAAACATGTTTATGAGGTACTTCCTATGTGTCAGCCGTAGGAAAATGGTTTTACATGCCTTCTTTCAGGGCCAGTGCTGGGATGGCAGGAAGTAGTATTCCTGTTTTATGGATGAACAGACAGAGGCAAAGATTGTTAAATAATGTGCATATGGCCTCAAACAGCTAAAAACAAGTGCATCTGGAATCTAAGCCTGGAACACTTGCCTCCTAAATTAAAATATGTCTTCATCTATTATGGCCTGTTTTATTTCACCATAATCATCATGTCACATTTTAATATGGCTTCCACTTTTCATTTGCTTCCTGTATTTAAACAAGATATGGGATTATGTTTGGGGTTGGGGTGTAGCTCAGAGGTAGAGCATTTGCCTGGTATGGGCAAAAACTTTAACCCCAAGCACCTCAAAAAAAAAGGAATGTTACGCTTACTTACTATAATTTAATAGTTATAATAACATGAACACCTCTTGTAGCACTCACATCTCATATAGCACTCACACCTCTATGAATCTGCACATTTACCTCAAATTTCTGCACGGCCAGACGTGGTGGTGCACACCTGTAATCTCAGCACTTGGGAGGCTGAGGCAGGAGGATAGTTGTGAGTCTGAGGTGAGCTTGAACTACACAGCAAGACCCTGTCTCAAAAAAAAATATTTTTTTTTTCCTGTATGAATTTAATAGTATAGAATTCTTGATGCTTTTCTAAGAAAAGGCAGATAGACATATATTTAGAGTTTTGGTTATGTCATGCACATTTGTTTTATTCTTAGTAACTATTTTTAAAACATCTTATTATTCAAACACTCCAGTACCTGCTGGCGACAACCCCATGGAGCTGAGCGAGATTCCTGATGAAAAGTGCCAGATTAACAGATATGGTTACTTTGAAGCCACCCTCAAGATTGTAGGTAAGGCTGAAGACCAGGGAGGCAGGAATCGGCTGGCGTCACCCATTCACTTGGGAACTCTAGGAGGGCAGAGGAAGCGGGTGGGGATACTGCATTTCCTGTCCAACATATTGCTGCATGCGCAAGCAGAGGCTTCTCTAGTTCCCAAGTTTCTGGCTGCTTGCCCGCCTTCCTCACACATCCTGGGGCCGGGGATATAGCACAGCGGCACAAGCATCTGCCTTGCAAGTGCAAGGTCCTGAGTTCAATTCCCAGTCCAAAAAAAAGAAGAAGAAAAAGAAGAATATCTATTTGCCGGACAGGGTGGCACACCCCTGTAATCCCAGCACTCGGGAGGCTGAAAGTTCGAGATCAGCCTGGGCTACAAAGTGAGCTCAAGGGCAGCTTGAACTGCACAGTGAGACCCTGTCTCAAAAGACAAAAAAATAAATTTACAGAGACGGTGGTGGTATCCTGGTTAGCATAGCTGCCTTCCTTACACATCCTGGTGGAGAGTAGCCCTCTCTGAGGCCCCCGTACAGACAGACTTGGCCCAGGCCCGGATCCCTCCTGACCATCCAGGATTTGGGATAGAGAGAGGATGCAAGAAGGCTAGGATGGAGCACCCCGTTCCCCTTAGCTAATTTCCAAAGTCACTCTTCCTGTTTGTAAAACAGGAACGAAAGACCTCCACACCTGGCCATGCGTTTCGGACACTGCCGCAAGGTGTCATCCAGCGGAGAAGACAGGAAGGGACAGAAGCCCAGCCTGAGCCCCGCCGCTTCTGCTTGGGAGGAGCTGGCCACTCACTCACCTGGGGGCTGTGTCTGCCCAGGGCTCAGCTTTTCCCGAAACATCTGCCCAGAGGGGCTGCGGGCTCTAACCCACACCCAGGCTGGAGGTTGGACCAAAGAGCAGTTCAGGGTGACCTTGAAAATGTGACCGGGACATGCGTCCTGAGATGGGATCGGTTCCCACATTAGCTGTGTTTCTATGTGGCAACAAGGCTGCCTCCCTTTGCGGGGCGCGGTTCTGACTCATTAGGAAAGGTGCCTCTGTCCGTTCAGGCTTCCACAGTAGGACACCACGGGGGGGGGATTCAGAAACTACTGCAATTCATTTCTTACAGTGCTAGAGTTCGGGAGCCTAAGATCAAGACACCAGCAGATTTGGGGTCTGGTGAGGCCCTGCTTCTGGGTTCATGCATGGCCATCTTCTCACTGTGTCCTCACATGGCGGAAGGGACAGGGGAGCTCTCGGGGTCTCTATAAGGACGTTAATCCTATCATCGAGCAATGGATCCACCTCCTGACACCATTACCTTGGCTGGCATTTCCGCTTGCAAAATTGAGAGGACACAACATTCAGTCTACAGCACGGTGGTCTGGTTTGTTTCGGTTGTGTTTTGATGTTTTCCATGGTGATTATTTTGTTAGAGGGAATCCTAGAGATTAACGTCGTCCAGACAGCAGACGTCCCGAGGCCCGCGCTGCAGCCTGACAGTGTCCTGATGGAGTTCACCGTGGTCTGCGAGGGGATGTGAGTAACTGTCCCCCTGAGAGCTGGGTCAAGGGAGGACCCTAGGTTTGAACAAGGGCCTTGACCACCGATTGTCCCTTCCATGTTGTTTCGAGTTCCTTAATTTATTAGTAGCCCCAGATGAGAAAGGACTCATAAAGGGCTATGAAAAGGCACTACCAAGTGCACACATATTTTAGTAGCGCTGAGAATGCTTATTACCTTTATCTATTGATGAACTTGAATAGTAATTATGGTCAACAATTGAACACTTATTGGGTCCTTAGTACTTTATATCTTGTGCTAAATCCTCACAATAATCCCATGAGTCTCCCCATTTCACAGATGAGGCAAGCGAGGCCCACAGTGCCACAGAGTTTGCCCACAGATAGATGCTGGTAGCTGGCAGACAGCATGGCTCAGGGGTCAGCGGTCTGGCTCAGAGCTGGCTCTTCTGCTCCCTGAGGCTCCTCTGGTGGGTAGAAAGCCAACGTGGAATTATTGTATGATAATCCTCCCTATAACTCGCAGTGCTTTTCCTAACATAATTGGATTTCCCTTGATTTGGTCAGGACTGTGTACAATAAACCAAATATAAAAATGGATAGATAAATATTGCCAGGCCTGGTGGTACATGCCTGTAATCCCAGCACTCGAGAGGCTGAGGCAGGAGGATCACCATCAACTCAAGGCCACCCCTAGTGAGTTCAAGGCCAGGCTGAACTACCTACTGAGACTTTGTCTCAGAAAAATAAATAAATAAATATTACATCAATTAATTATATACTAACAAATCATATGTAACTTAACTAATAAAATATATGTATGTTTAAACATATCAAGTAATCCAGAGAATGGGTTGGTATAAAAATGGAGCCTTTGATAAAAGGCAATGACTAAGAAGCTCCCTGGCCTGGGCAGAAGAGCAGAAAGAGCTGCTGGTGTGACCTTGGCCTAGTTATCTCCCATCCCTGAGCTGAGCTGTCACCAGTTACCCTAGGATAATACTACTTTCCTCATGAGGCCGTGAGGAGGCACAACCAGACCACAACCTCTGTCTGAACTCAGGGCTTTGCCTGGAGCGAACCCTGCAACCCAGCCGTGCTGCTGTCACTGTCCCTCCGCAGAAACCCAGCCAGGGCCAGCTGTGACCGCAAATAATGTCTTCACCCAGTGCTTAAGCCACTTGCATCTTGGGACATTCTGGAGGGCCCAGGATGCAGGGGAAGCAGCTTGGGATTCACACGGATTCTGCCGCCAGCCCCTCGCCCTGGGAGGCATCATCTCTCCCGCTCCATCCTCTGACCTCACCTTCCGGAGGGTGCAGAGGAAACAGGAGCTCATCTGCAGGCTTACTTAGCAGTCAGTCACACGTTACAGCTTAGCATCTGTGATTTGGATAAGGATAGGCAGAGTCCGATTTTATACAAATGCAATGGTTTTTCTTTTTTCAAAACTGACATTGCATTGCTCTGTCCCCGTGTGTGACCTGTGTGCCCTGTCCTGCCCCTGCCATGTTACAGCGTCCCCAGGGAAGTCTGTACCATCATCTCCGACCCCACCTGCCTGCTGGCCCAGGAAATGGTCTGCAACAGCGTGCATGTGGACGAGACGTGCCTGGTGACCGTGAGAAGAGCCTTCAAAGAGGCTGGGATGTACTGTGTGAACTTCACTCTGAGTGATGACACAAGTCTGGCCCTCACCAGCACTATGGTCTCCATCGCTGGCAAAGGTGAGTTTGGTTATGACCCTAAGAGCACTTCATTTTGCAGGTAAAGTGTGTGCCCAATATTAAAGCCATTGATGGCTTTCCTGTCACTGCTTAATTTTATTTCAGTGCAAAACTCATCCAACTCTTGTTAATGAGCATTTGAGAACTGGTATTAAAATCCAGCAGCAGGGGCTGGGGATTTAGCTCAGCGGCAAAGCGCCTGCCTGGCAAGAGCAAGGTCGTGAGTTCGGTTCCTGGTACCGGAGAAAAACCCAAAAAAAAATAAAATAAAATAAAATAAAATCCAGCAGCAAATCTACTTGGGGAAGCTGCATGAAAGACTCAGTAAAATAGTGGTCAAAGGAAAGTCTTTTGGTGAAAAAAAAAATCATCTGTGATCATGGCCCATTAGTAATGGGATATGATCATTGCGTGCTTGAATAGATTTGCATTTCAAGAGGAAACTGTAAAGCTCCACGTCAAATGCGATAACAAAGGAGAGGCTGAGATCCGCTTTCGTGACAGTCCACCTGGGCAAAGGTGTGCAGCCAAGAGAAAGAGGAAGCTAAGTGGACCCCGGCTCCCTTCTAACCTGCTCAGACCCTCAAATCTACGGACCGCAGCATGGACCCGTAACAAACCAACTTCCCTGCTCTTCAGATGCTCAGCAGAAAAAAATGGCCCTTTGGCCTCCTGCCTCTGGGACAGGCAACACATCAACAAAGCAGAAAAACAACAACAACAAAAAAAAAAAAAAGCAGAGTGAGAAATTTCAATGAGAAATTTGCATTAACTGGTGGCATCCAATAAATGTATAAGAGCATTTATCGTATAAAATACCCAAGTCCCAAACCCTAGTAACCTTAACTGAATCTCAGTTATAACTAACTTTCTCTCTCTCTTTTTTTAAAACCAACTTTCTCCTAAGACTCCTTTACGTCTTAGAAGTGCTATGTGGTGGAATACAAGGGAAAGATTAAAACTGCATGCACACTGCACTAATTTTGCTCTATAATTTCCATATTGTCAGGTACAACCTAATGACTATTTCACTTACAGCACCTTTGGACTTGCTTATTTTATAAGATAAAATGTACTTATATATTTATTCATTAATCATATAAAGGGCAATTTTAGCCCCATGAAAGAAAAATCTAATGTAGTAATAGGTCCCTTGATGGCAGGGACATGTTCTGAGAAACTGGTCACTGTATGAATATTGTAGAAAGTTCTTACCCAGACCTAGATGGTCTAGGTCAAGCATTCCATGTGACACACACCTGTAATCCCAGCTACTCTGGAGGCTGAGGCAGGGTATCACAAGTTTGAGGACATCTGAGTAACTTAGCAAGACCCTGTCCCAAAATAAAATTTGTAAAAAGAGCTGAGGATGTAGCTCAGCACTAGAACACTTGTCTAGCAAGTGCAAGGCCCTGGGTTAAAGCCCTAACACTGAAGGAGAAAGAAGGGGGAGGGGGAGGAAGGGGAAGGGAAAGAGGAGGGGAGGGAAAGAAAGAGGAAATCCATAGATGTTTAGCTGAAATTTTTTTTATTTATTGATCCAATGAATATTCATGAAGCACCTCTAATTCTTTCAACAAATAATCATTGAGCATCTACTGCATGCTCCAGACAGTTCTATGCATGATATACAATTCTAGAGCAAGACAAAGAATGCCTGGCAAGACTGAGGTCATGAGTTTGATTCTCAGTACCAAAAAAAAAAAAAAAAAGAATTTAAAGACAAAGAAGATTCTTGGCCTTCTAAGCAGTAATAGATGTTAAAAGAAAAATGTGAGGCAAATTAAATTTCACAAAGGTTTAGGTATGTGTGTGTGTGTAGGTGTGTGTGTGTGTAAGGTCCTGGGGACTGAACCCAGAACCTTTATAATGAGCTACATCACCAGCTTTTAAAAAATGTTTTAAATTTTTATTTGTTTGTTTAGTCATTTATTTGCCTTATCTTATTAAGTTATTAAATTGCCCAGCTGGGCTCAAACATTCAACCCTCCTGCCTCAGCCTCCTAGAGTGCAGAGAGTACAGGCATGAACCACAGTGTCCAGCAGACAGTTTAGTTAAGCACCAAACTGAGCAACAGTCGGAGCCAGAGGAGACTCAAAGAGCTCCACTACTGAGCAGTGAGCTTTCACACGCTGCCCGGGATGCCAGAATCTCTTGAATGGCTGCAGGAAGGCAGCTGCCTACTTTGGTCATGGCGCCCACCAATCGGCTGCCTGTGATTGGCTACACAATACTCTCTCGATTAGGTTTCAATTTGCTTAACTATTAAGATGCAGTTTTTCAGGTAGGAATTCAGAATACTTAAATAGCCTTGGGCCAACAGCCTCCTCCTAGTTCACTTTACACAGGCAGTGAACAAACAAGAGAGAATGTGAAGGAAGTAAAAGCTGGTCGGCGCTGGAGAGGGGTGAGCACGGCGGAGGGAGACGTGGAGGAGACAGCCTCAGCTCTCTGGCAGGGAGAATCCTGGCCACCCACCCGGTGACCCCTCTCCGCGAAGGGGCTCCTGTGAGCTGAGACCTGCATTGCAAGAATGAAAGGCCATCTAGATCCTGGGGCCTGCGCTTTATTCTGTGCACGACGGGAAGCCACTTGCTAGTTAGAAGTGAGATCGGGTTGATCTTTCAGAAGATTGTCCCAGCTGCACAGAGGAGAGAAGATTGTTGGAAGGTACGAGCGAACACAAGAAAACAATTAAGAGGGCCCTGAAGACAAGTAGCAGAGGATACAAAGGAAAAGTAGATAAGCTGTTTTACTGTCGGGTAGAGACAGACGAACTGATTTGCTGGGTTGCAGGAGAAGAAAGAAAACATAATCTGGGGCTTTCACAGCGTGGTAAAAGAGAAATGCATGTAAAGAAATAATGGTGGCCAGCTGTGGTGGCATACACCTGGAATCCCAGGTACTTGAGAGGTGGAGGTGTGAGGATTACAAGCTCAAGACCAGCCTACAAAACTCTGATTCAAAATAAATTATTTTTTTGTCTTTTTGAGACAGGGTCTCCCTATGCAGTTCAGGCCGGTCTTGAACTCACTTTGTAGCCCAC